TGGTTTCTAATAAAGTGGGTGAATAATGAAGGAAGTGTTGGCAACTGTTCTAACTTTTTAAAAGCTTTCTCTGGGCCCTTGGTCACATCCCTCTGGGATTCATTTTCGGTGGATATTTAAATGATGGAATTTAATTAGTGCCATTATTCATGGAAATTGATTGTCAAAGTTGTACAGATGAATGTTCAGAGAAGTTGAATTTAAAATGTGCACGTCAGGATTTGTGACCAAAGTGCTTGTATCCTCATCCAGGCAGGGACCAGATACTTGTGGCTTATCTGGACAACGACAATTAAGTTACACTGCTCACATGTTGAATATTTGCAATCAACCCAAAAAAATGTACAATGTGAAGATATTTTCCATTTGAATAATTAATAACTTGCATGAAACCTCAGCCGGTTGGAGGATGTTCAGCAAAAAAACCCCAACCCTGATTTCAGTGACTGATGTATTTATAACTAAATATTTGATACGTTCAAAAAAGTTTCCTGACATTTTTCTAGATGCCCGAGTGTTCTTTCTGTAATTAAAGTATATGAGAGAAACTTCCTCCCTGACTTGATGGACTTTCTATGTGCTTCTGCATGTTGGCACGGCCAGGAATATTGGAGAACCCTTTTAATGCACAGAAAGAGTTCTAACAGCTGAAGTACGCCATCAGCTTTGCGCAAACACCAAGCATAGTTACCCTACTGGAAGGCTTTTGTATCTGCAAGTTGGTCCTAGCGTATCTTCCACCTGATGGTAGAGGCTATCAGAGGTTCTATGAGCAAATATATTCACCGTTCATTTAATACATGAAGGAAGACAAACACTAAGGCTTCCCAAACCCCAAGACATTTCCCCAGTTGTTAATCAAGACACCTTTAGTGAGAGTTGACCATTTGGAACTCTCTAACATCAGTAGTGTAGGCATCTCCTCCTTAGCTTTTGCCAAAGCCAAAGCACATTGGCTGAGAGAGCTCTGTCCATATATATATTTTTTTTTCTATTACTTCTGGGTCAATAGTGGTGAAAGACTCAACTGAAAACTCATTAAAGATATGAAACAATTTAAAATAGGCTTGGGAGAATTTAAATCCCTTTTGGAATTAAAACAAAAAAACCCACCTTGCATTTAATCCTGACCATTAGTTATTAGACACACGCATTCATTAGTAATAGCTTTTATCTTTATAGTCCAGAACATTGCTTCCATAGTCCAGTCAGACATCTTTCCATTTTGCATAATAACTTCACACTTGCACGCAACCTTATCAAACCTGCCTTCTTCTGTAGAACCCACTGAATATTCGGGCGTGTTTATGCACGGCTCCTTGCAAATACCTCCATCATGAAATACAAAATATACAGAAGCTGTCGGATGGAGTTACAGTAAACCCAGTTTATTCTACCCTCCAGGTTTCCCCAAGGAAACAGCAAAAAGGTTGGACGATGCAGTTTCATGGCGCTACAAAATACCAATTCCAACAAAAAGTGTCCCTAGATAGCAGAGAGTTTTCGGTCCTCCAGAACTGAGATAACGACCTGTGCACCCCCAAAGCACTCAGTTAATGAATCTTCCTGTAATAGCTGATTGTTCCAGATTACTAAGCAGAAAACTTACCATTTATACCTGGAATAAAAGTGCTAAAGAAGAGGATGACAAGGAAACCGTTAAACTTCTTGACTTCCTTTAAACTTTGAACTCTTTTCCCAGAGCTAGGAGAATGGTGCGTCACCACTGGAAGGATCCAGGTCCCTGCGTACCATGCTCAGAATTTAGATGAACGTTCACAGAGGCTCTGCCATGAATAATGAATAACCACCTCTCTCGGCACCATTTTGACAGACACAAAATAGGAGCTTTGCGATAGCCATTAAATCCTAACATGGGGGGGACCAGCCCGGGGAGTAACATCCTTAGGTCCAGCGCTCTGCACAAGTGGGAGTCCGGTATTAGGAACACATGACTTAATAAGATCTACTGATTAAAATGAGCATTCGATCAAAGAAATTTGACAGGCTTGAGAGTACCCAGAGTTTTGAAAGTAAGACCAAATGTAAAATGGAATGCAGAACCAAGCAACGGATAAAGGAAACACCGGTGATAGCCTGAAAATAAACCTACAAAAATAGCATCATCTCAGAGGACCCTCTTTTCATGAAATGAAATAAATAAAAACAATTACTTACCCAGATTTTCGATGGAATAGTAACGCTGTTTACTGTCCACCCGCACAGTCTCAGCATACGGACTGCCGACGCCGTAGCCGATGATGTACCCGCGGACGACAATGTTCGGGTTCAGCGGTGGAGTCCAACTCATGACGATGCTTGTTGTCAAGGGCCTGACATGAAGAGAGCTTGGCTGGTCGGGAACCTGAGATTCTGGGATTAAAAAAAAAAAAAGAAAAGAAAAAGGTATCAATTAACATTCTATTCCTTTAATTTTATTATTCATAAGGTTTGAGTTTAGATTAAAATAATCTGCACAAAGAAACCAACCAGGACCCCAGAGTTACATGCAGAGCTTACATGCAATTGCATTTCTGAGCTCCAGCCTTCCCTTCCAAGAGTATCTCCTAGTGCTTTCCACCTTTCGCATAAGGCTACAAACAAGAGAGATTTAAAATTCTGCAGGAAAATGAAAGATGCCCTACAAGAGAATTTCCAGTAGGACAACTCTTCTCTTCCTTGGTCTATTTGCATGTTCGGCAGCATCCTGACAGCTGAGCGTATGAGTTGCCTTTCTGCTCCCAGATTATTTCATGAAAGGGTTTACTTTGTTAGTGCTACGGTAGTAGATTCTGGCAATAATCTGTCCCTTTCCCACAAAAATAAGAAGCGAATTTTAAACTCTTGGGCATGCGTGTCTTGCTTTGAAGCGGCTTTAAACAATACACCCACGTTTCATACATGAAATAACAGAATAAGATATTTTATTTACAGGTACGCCCAGGGAAAATGTATAACTTTAAGTAGTAATTAATCCCTTGAGGTCTATTTGCCTTCTATAAGCCTAATTTTACTGTAAAGGTCAGATGAGTTCATGCCTTTTGTTTGAGTTTACCCCATAGCTACCATATCACAAGTCTCTTCAGAGGAGCCGCACAGTAGCTTGTCTTTTTGAGAGCAGAAAGAGACAAGTTACTATTTTTCCCCAATAAAAAGGCTTGCAATATAATAGATGAAAGCTTATACAGATGACAACAAGGACAGGGCAGAGAAAACCGGTAATAACAGAAACCGATGTAAACTCCAACAAAAGACACTCCACAGTTGTGAAGCATTCCCACTGTAAACCTTGGAAAAGGTAATAAAAAGAAGAATTAACTCTTTTTTTAATAACCACACGCGTCCTTGGCATTTGATGGGCTTTCAGCTGAGCTCTTACGAACACATTAGCGTCCTCCGACAACCTGGCGCGCCTTCGGGGAAGTCCCGTGAGTACATTACCCAGCAACTCTAGAAGTCCTTTGCATTCGACTCCTTAAAATTGCAAAGCAAAGGTCTTGCTTAAAGGCGGAAGAAAACGCGCTGCAAAGTCGCTACTCACACACAGAAGAAACAGATTGCACCCATGGTGCCGCTCCAAGTCAAGTTAAGTTGCCATTTACCCCCTCTCCACCCCCAAACTTTCTTTTAATGCCGAAGCAGAAGTTACTCGAGCAGCTATTCCTGAACAGTGCTGTTTGGAAAACAAATGACAGAAGCGTTTCGTACAAGCCCCAAAGATAAAATAACGATTTCATGCCTTGAAACGAGAAGCTGGCTAACGTAGCAAGACTGCAATTCCTCCAACTTCCTAAAAGTAGCGGTTCTCCGGCAGCAAAGGACATCAGAGCACTCACAGAGCCGACGGCCTTCAAACGAGGATTTTTACATCTGACGCAACACGGGGACTTCAATTGCGGCACAGATACCTCTAGGCAGCCGTTTGGGTTAAAACTACTTTATTCAAACGTTTCCTAGTCTTTATTTCGAACAATTCAAAGATACAATTCGTGCATTTCCGAGCAAAATCGTGGCTTCTTGTTTCAGAAAGCAAAAGGCAGTTTAATTTCTTGTACCCTTCTTGTGAATTAAATCTCTAAAATGAAGCTGGGGCAAACAATATTTTCAAATATCAAAGTTTCATAAGCACAGCTATTTTTTGAAGACGCATTTTTTTTTTTTTTGCTTCAGCTTTCTGTATAAAGCAATGTTAATTACATTTTAATTAGCTTTACCTTCAAACATCTTCTGGAAGCAACACTTTTCTTATTCTGAAACAGTGCTGAATTTTAGAATGTGGGTCCTGTATTTCACAACCCCAAGTACAAAGTTTAAAGTCAACTGGTTTTTTTCCCCTCAAACAAAATGTTTTTTCGGTTGTCCTTACAGCGAAGCACGTTTCCCACAGTAAGGACATCTGTCAAATATAACATAGAGCCAAACATCTAAACCCATCAATTCTTTAGGCAACCAGACCACCCAAGCCTTTGCACGGCTCTGCTGATTTTCAGTGTCCCAGCCCTCGAATATCCAGGAATAAAACTCTTATTGAAATATGTATCTCATAGTCCCACTTTCTTTGCCAGGGTATTTCCTTGCACTTCTACACCAATATGTTTACTTTTGTTTCTCCTGGGCTTCAACATGATGCCACAACTACTGAGAAGCAACTTTGAGACCCCATTCTCCTACACGAGTGCCAAATGAGTTCTTCATCCTAAGTGCCAAATGAGCCAAATCCACGGTCCCCCCCCCTCTCTGAACTGCACCAAAGGTTCATCACTTGCTCTCACGTAGGGAAATCTTGGAGTATTTGTAAGCAAATCCACGAGCCGTGGATGCCAGCCAGCCCCCAGACCAGCATCGGGCACGCAGGAGGAGAGTTCCTCAGTAGATCTGCCCATGTAACCAGATTTCTTGGTGCTACGGTTCTTACTCTCTTCCCTTACGGACAATTAGGTTCCCAAGAAATGGAAGCTGAAGTTCTGCATCATTGCCTGGTGCGACATCTCCTCCTGGGATGCCAAGTCCGCTCACCGGTGCCTCTGAGCCCTCCACCGTGCTTCCACCTAAGGGTTTGAACACCCGCGTTTTCCATCCAGGGAATATTGCACTTAGTGCTACTTCGAGGTCCCCAATTCCGCCGGCAAACTTGAAAAATGCTTTACATTTGGGTCACTTCAGCAATTCTCGTAGACATTCAAAGATGTGTGTTTCCCAAAGTCAGGGTCGTTTTCCCTCGTCCCATTTTGCTCACATCTTTCCCCAATCACTTTTCAGTATAAATTACAGTACGGTAGCAGTCTAGCTTGTCATGCTCTTAAAGCGCTAATTTAGAGCTGAAGCTAAACTCTATCACCATCTAATATGTGTAACAGCTTCCATCTGTTCAATGCAGTAATCAGAAACCAAGCATCCTAAACCCATTTTCCTGGAGGATACCTTTGCGAAGTTGATCAGAGATTCTCTTGCATCCTTGCTCAAGCTATTTAAATCAAACCCTTTGGGGAAAGCACTGCTTCCAATTTCTATTTATTTTTTTTTTCCTTTTTAAAGCACAAAATTTGAGGCTTAAAATAAATATTTAAAACCTTCCCAGCTGTTGGTAAAGGCATGCGAGCTTTCTAGGGAACCTCGAAGAAGCAGCTATGTTTGGATTTCTAATCACTTTAACAAAACACACTAATTAAAATGAATATCCGTCGGGAGTTGACGCCGTTCTCCAGGATACCGTTCGTCTTCGTGTTGCCAGTGCCAACCAGGCTTCCAGTGAGAGCAAGAGAAACTGTGTTAACCGTAGCAGCAGAGGGGACGGCAGTTCCCAGCCTGTGCTCCAGCCTTTCCCTGCTTTGCTGGAACTTGCAGGATTCCATGTAACTACGACATCGAGGAGTTTTCTCCCCAGGCTTTAGCGGAGCATTTGTATCTAGCATGCAACACGACGCGATGCCAGCATCGGGCTGCTGCAGCTTCACGAGGATAAATCATGGCTACTGCAAATGCAAATGCATGTAAATACAACAGAGGGACAAAATGGCTTGGCTTGAATTTATTCGCACGCACCTACTTGCACCCTGCGTCTCCTGCGGTTGCTCGATTCACGCCTTTGCACGCACACGTGCATTTGGGCACAAAACCTTCAACGGAAGGTAGGGTGTAGTAAATGCAAATCAAACCAAACGTGCTCCAATGCATTAACTTCTTCTCGGCACACTGCGGCGCATTCGGAATTTATCTTTTACTCTCGCCGGTGGCGAGTCAGCTGTTTACACCTTAACAACATCATTTCTCAAATTGCTGTCGAGCCAAAGCGTAATTAGAAAGATACCATCGCGCGCGGCGGCACGGCGCGACCCGTCGGTTGAGTTACAACGCGCCCGGAAGCGTTGCATCTTCTTTAAAAGCTTGATGAGAAACCACAGGTACTGGTTCTCCCATTTTGCGTGCCACGCACCGCAGTCGCTGTTCCCGGTCTGCTGGAAAATTGCATTTGGACATAGGGGAAGGCAGAAATTCTTCAATTTGCAAGGGTTGATTTCGAGATCATAAGGAAATCCGGCCAGGCACAAGAAAGGCAACATCAAGTGCTATGGTGCATTTAAACTGATTATTTATTTATTCTTTCATCCACTTTGCCTTTGATCCTTTTTAGGTGACTTATTTTGTTTTAAAAATCACAGCAATTTTCATCAGTTTCCTTTTATTTTCCATTCATCTCCTTTCTCCTACATATGTGCTTCTTAGGGACTGTCTGTAGTTTGGCCGTAACTTCCATCTGTCAGATGCTTTGTTCCATTTGATTTGCACTGTTTAATTTTTTTTTGGTAGACTTTTTCATTACTCTCCTTTTATTCCTTTCCTACTTCAAATATTCCCGTCATTTCATCTAACCCTTTCATTTCAGTGTTTTTCTTCCCTTTTGTGTCAGCATCTGCACTGATTTATACAGCCCACGATTTTCAGGTACCTGCATCCCGTCATCTTTCGCTAATTATTCGGCTTCGTTGCCAACCTGCATTTCTAACAACTCTGCAAACAGAGGCTGGGAAACAGGATTTGACCTATTTGAGCATTTGCTGAGCGCATTGTTAGGCTCCTTGGCGTCATTTGCACTGTTGCTTGGATTGCTTACGTTTATCGTTTATGAAGTTACAGCTGCACTTCACCGTAGCATTGCGAATGGCCGCGATGCTCGGGAGCTAAATTCTGGCAAGGAATTATTTTGACAAAGGTGGGGACAATCTTTTTAATAGGGCCAGCTGGGACAGGACAAGGGGGGATGGCTTTAAACTGAAGCAGGGGAGGTTTAGACTGGATCTAAGGAAGAAATTCTTTCCAGTGAGGGTGGTGAAACCCTGGCAGGGGTTGCCCAGAGCGGTGGTGGAGGCCCCATCCCTGGGAACATTCCAGGCCAGGTTGGCCGGGGCTGGGAGCAACCTGATGTGGTTCAAGGTGTCCCTGCTCCTGCAGGGGGGTTGGGCTGGGTGACCTCTGGGGGTCCCTTCCCACCCAAACCATTCTATCATTCTATGATTCTGACTCCTTGGTCCTGGTGATGAGAGAGAAACACAACCCAAGGCACGTGGGATCCAGGAATATAAGAAAACGTTGGTCGGTGGGTGGCTAGAGTCCGGGCATCGCACCCTAACCTCGGCCCGGGTGACAACTGCAGTGGGACCCCTCGGCTACGGGCTAGAAGACTTTTGGAGACAACAGCTTTTAAAAGAGATGCATTTACCGTCGAGATCGTTCTCGGGTGTTTCTGCTGTGTACCAGTCCGAGGGGGGCCCTGTCCCATTCACTGTCATGGCAGCCACCTGGAAACTGTACTGGCTTCCTTTCTCGAGTCCTGTTTAAAACAAAAAAAAAGCAAAGCAAAACAAACAAAAAAAAAGGCAAATAAAAATCATACAGAAAGAAGAAGATGAAGAAAACAAATTAACGACAATACCAGAGGTTGCAGCAGACTGTGCGTAAAAGGAAATCTCGAGTAACAGTCCACTGGATTTGCTGTATGTAAGGAAATATATAGAAATGCATATATATGCATACAAATAAATATAGATATGCAAATGAATATTTTTAATACTGAAAAAAAAAAAAATAAATATGCGTTCCCCCAGCACACCGCTGCCCGGTTTGCAGACTGCGCTCTACGGCACACGTACGTGGGGACGTCGTATGGGCAAGTGCCTGGGCAGGGGCGTAGCGGAACGGCTCTGGGGGGAGGCCGGTATTCACCCAGGAAAAGAAGTTTCTGACCAAAAGGAAAGGTTTCAAATATTGAACGAGGGCTGCACCGGCCCAGGGTGAGTTTGGGTTGTAATTCCCATCGGTTGCGCTCATACATACAGAATTAATGGGAGTAGAGTAGAAAATGGGGTAGAAAAATGAAGACTTTTTCTACAAATAGGAGAAAACCAGAAAATACTAGAAAATTTCTACCAATAGTAGAAAAATGAAGAATCGTTTTGCATAACTAAGCCGTTAATCGCACACCTAGCAAAAGCTGCTCACTGCTTTTAACGTGCAGGGAACCGCAGGTACGCTCTCCTTATGCAGAAAATCTGCCGGCTCGGAACTAGGTTAGCAACTGAAGAGCGTTTTGCTTTCCGGTGCTCCTGATTAACTTCAGAGCATGCAGTTCAGGCAAAAAAAATAAAAATAAAAAATAGAAAGCCTTAGCAATATTATGAAATAAGCACGGCTTCAGAAGCAGGCGTTTTCCTCTGTGGCTAAAGCCATCAGAAACCAATTACTGCCGCGTTCCTGAGTGTGCCACAAGACTTCCAAGTCCCCGAGGTGGGGATATAGGTTTATCTTTTTGCTCAGTCTATACTGACCACAAAGCACGGGGAAAAAACCTGTTTCATTTAATTGCAAACATTCTCCGGAGAAGGCGGCTCATAATTAAAAAGCCGTTTAACATTTAGCTGACATGGAAGCCTACTCCAAAATTGATAGTGGCTATTTAAACCCCTGCGTTGTAACTCTCAACTCCTCTGCTGTTGCAGATGTTCTCCTTATCCCATAGAGCACCTGCCTACCAAATAGGATTGCAGCAAAGATGTGAAGTGCCTACATGTTAATATTTAAAATGTCCATTTAGGAGAGGCACATAGCTCGGTCTCCAGCTATCACAAGATATGCATGCCGAAAGCAATAACGAGAGCTGGATGTTCTTCTCGATTGCTTTCCAAGATACATATGCCCAAGGTTTGTGGCTGGATGGAGGCGAGTTGCGGTGGGGCTGCGGCAGCCAGGGCAGGCAGGAGGGCTGGGGGCTGCCTGCAGCCCATCGTCCCACCGGGACACCCCCAGCTCTGGAATAATTCATGTGGAAAAAAAGAGTTTGCTCAAGACGTGGGGATCTACCACAATAGAGATCAATCCGCTCTGCTTCCACAGGGATGAGATCTGCAGGGACAGCGGCAGATGAAGGTACGTGCGTTCCCTCTGGGACTTTGACTGCATTGCTATGTTTTCTTCTCTAAGCCATCAGAGCAGCAGCAGCTCCCACATCTGAGCAGCTTTCATCATTATTTCTACTTCATCTGCCAGAAAATAGTTCCTTTCCAACTTGTTGAACATGCTTAACACGCCATCTCCCCCCAGAAAGTAGCTGTTTGTTGTGCAGCTTCACAAGAGCTCCCATGGGGACTCTGGTCAAGAGCCTAGGGTAGATGACCAAGTTGGGTTTTCTGTATTTAAAGTCTTCCTCATAAAAATGTTCTACTTTGGCTTTTATTTCATTTTGAAATAAAATCCTGCTTTTCCTTCCAAAACAGAAAACGGTAGAGTTTATTCCGAGATACACAACTCGGAATTACTCCTGATTCTCATAGATTACACATGCAGGTAAACATAAAGCAGATCAAATCATTTGAAATCATAGTTATATTGAATTTAGGAGCAAAACTTTGACAAACTTTAATTACCTCCCTTGATGCTTTGCTGCTTTTTCAGTTATGACTTGGGCATAAGGCGAGAACCCAGGTGAAATTCATTTTCACCCACCAGAATTCACCGTTACCCTTACGATACTCATCTGGCTACTTTCATTCATCGCAATTAGAGTTTTGCTATGATCTACTGTTGCACTTTTTATTCAGCGAGGAGATCTTTTCCATTGAAAATCTGGGAAAAGAAACTAGGGAAATCGGTATTTTTGCACCCGCAAGAAAATAGATGTCGACCGAGTGCTCTAAAAAAAACCCAACTAAGGCTTAAGATACTGGACACGAGAAATTCGGCTTAAAATTCATTAATGATAAAATCCAGGAGACAAATATATGATAAAAGCAATAAGGAAAAAAATGGGTTTAAAAAAAGCAGGGTAAAGACTGTCTTTGTACAACACAATAAATGCTACCTGCCAGCAAGGAAATCAATGTTCCCTTGAAGTGAAAGTATATTTTATTCCCAAAGCATTTAATTCATCAAAACCTTGCAAGGCTGTACCATGTGAACACTGACCTGTGAACAAGTACCAGAGGTTGTTCGGCTCCAGTGTTTCAATCTCACCCCTGCGGGTAGTCTTTCTATGTCGGATTTTATAGCCCGTAATAAATCCATTTTGAGTACCTGGTGGTGGAGGCAACCAGCTAACTTTGATGCTCTGTAAAAGAAAAGATATTATTGTTGATTTTTTTTTGTTTGTTTTTTTGGCAAAGAAATGACAGAAATAAAGTACATAAAATGAATGGGAAAAAAGGAACAAGAGAAAGGCTGTGTTTTTCTAATAACAACATGTATTCAACTAACGTTATTTTGAGAAGAAAATCAAAGCAAATCTTAAAAGATTCATGATGGCGTAAAGAAAATTGGATGTCCTCTAACAGTAGATGGCTAGATGGACAATGGATTTATATAGCCAATTTTCTCCCTTTTCAGGATTTTTTCATTTCAACAGGCCACCAGAATACCTACGATACTAGAAACATCAGCTCTGGGGTTGAGTAGACCCTGCAACCCGCTTTGCTTCTCAGCCCAAAGTGCCCAAGTCACCTCTTTTTGACTGCAGGGTACAAATATCAACCTGAGCAATTCTAACAATTCTGTGCCATTTGAACTCCACGGACGTTCACGGAGACGTTGCCGCACCCTCGTCGTATCAACATAAAGACAGTCAAACCTCTTGGGAATAAACTTATTGCCAATCCCAACGCGTAAGGATTTTTGCTGAGCCATTCATCGGAGACAGCAGCAATGCCAAGACCAATCACTTATTTTTTTTCTAAATAAAATCATAGAATTGTTTAGGTTGGAAAAGACCATTCAGATCACCAACCCCAACCGTTCCCCTACCCCTGCCATCCCATCCCCAAACCCTGGCCCTAAGCACCTTGGCTGCTCGGCGCACCTTGGCTGCCCGGCGGTTAAATCCCCCCAGGGATGGGGACTCGACCCCTTCCCTGAGCAGCCCCTTCCAGTGCTTGACAGCCCCAAGGGGAAGAAATTTTTCCTAACGTCATTGAAAATGTTGCTTGCTAGATTGTAAGAGGGATCTTATCTCAGCCTAATAGCCCAAACCGAAACCGTCCCT